AAATTCAAGAGTAAGAAAGATCAAAACTCTATCGCACGAAACAGATTGAAAGCCTTTTTATCCACAAATTGAGCAACTGAATTGTATCACATTCCAAAGAAAAAGTAAATAGAAATCGAATTCGAACCAAAATCCTGAAAACGGAGCTGAAATTCATAAACGAAAGTGGACACAAATCTCAGGAAGTCATCTTCGTCGACGAACATGACTCAAACCGCGAACTTCTTGAATTAATTAATTTCAATTTACATCAAATTAGCTTAAGAATGAACATAAAAACGCATCAAGAACCACCACCTTATCACCGGAAACAAATCAACTGCCAACTTCCTGAATCAACATATTCAAATTTACACCAAACAGGCTAAACAATGAAGCTAAAGAAATCAAGAATCAAACCTCGGGGAGTAAGCCTGAGCGAGTACGAGAAACCACCCCGGCGCCGGGAAGTAAACAACTGCGAAAACTCCAACGCGTAGATCTGAGCAATCTGTGGAATCAATAACCTTCAAATAGTAAAGAACTCGACTCGATTTTCTGGAAGCTAAGTGTCAGAGGAAGAGAGAGGCTTTTTGGAAAGGAGCACAGGACGATGAGGAAGAGAACCTCAAGCCAAAACGCCATGTGCGATCAGAGGGCAAAGAAACATTAAATTGTCACGTTCGTTTCGACGATTCGAATTATTTGACCAATTAGAAAAAACAAAAAATATTTTTAGAAAAATATTTAAGGAGAGGAGGAGAGAGAGAGAGGGAGAGTTTTAAAAATGGAGGGAGTTTCTGTTTTTCCCCGCCCTTTGCTATTCCTAGGTGACGTGAGGGGACGGCGCGTGGATATGACGCGACGCGAGAAAGCGCTGACTCAATGACGGTGGTGTGATACTGCCACCTTTTTTCTTGGACAGGGAATTGAAAAGGTCGAGTAATATTTAATGCTGGGAAGCTTTGCGGTTGCTAGAAGGCAAGGAAAAGGGTAGCAAGAATCTGATATTTATAGGAGCTGAGATGTAAATTGGGATTAGTTTAATTGTGGTTAGAACACCTATTGGGTTGGTTTGTTTTAAACCATGGTTAAACAAACACTTTCTTTTAATCCTCCGATTAGTTGTTAGAACCAATTTCATCAATAGAATTTAATAAATTTATTAGTAAATTAGTGTTGTCTTAGATATTAATTTAAAAATTTTAAATCTTAAAATTAATATGTAAAGAAATTAATTTTTTAAAATGAACAAAATAAATATGGGAGATGCCTTATTAAAATCTTGTTTAAAAAGGAATTACACACAAAAATTAATCCAAAAATAAAATAAAATAACTCGACCAATATAGTCTACTAATTAATACTTAGCATGTGTTGATCGAGGTTGGATTAATTAAAGAAATGGGCAATGAGGTGATTCTTTTGTAAATCTTTTAATGAAGAGAAGATGGTGTACCTTTTAATCAAATCATTGCTCTTTTTTTTTATAGTATATATAATCAAATCATTGTTATACAACTAACATAGACTTAATGATATCCACTAACTATGTAATCTTAATTTTGTGTTAAGGTGTTTTAAAATGATTTAATACTTTTGTTATTAAAAAAAAAAAGTTGGGATCAAAAGGTACTTTCTGTGAAGGTAGGATGGTTAAATGTTGAAGGTTTTGAGTGTATGAATATTAAATTTTGCAATTATTAAGTTGGTTATGATTTGTTAAAGAGAGAAAAATAACCCTCTACTCAAATACACAAATAAAAAACTAACTTTGGAAGTTCAACGGATACTTTGGTTATTGGAAACCAAACAATAGAAATTTATAGAAAATACTTTAAGCACTTCCTAGTCATCATGTTTTAGATTCCATCAACGGTTGATTAAGGATTTATAAATTAAACATCCTCATGTTATTAAATAGCTTTCAAGATGGAAAACTATAAAATAAAATAAAAAATTGCACTAAAGAATTGGACATATGAAGAACCACCAATTGTTTAGGTTAAATTAGTTAATTGGATTTGAGTCATAGAGATGGGGTGCGATAAATTAATTTGGCATAGTATGTTAAAAAGGTGACAGTGGTTATAGTTTATGCAACTATACAACTAAGCCATATTCTCCTCACTTGAGGTCGGCATTTTGAGCTTGTCTTTAGCAAATCCCCATGTGAAACTCTGCTGCTGACTCCTGACCCACACCCGCCACGTCACCCACTCATAGCCACTTGTTGTCATAGTATGATGACACATGGCAT